AGGATGTGGATGACCCTGGACAGGGTTCCGACTCCGAGCAGGGCACAGAGAGACTGGTTGGCCACCAGGTGGCACCTGATCCTTGGATCAGTGGTGGGGAGGGGACAAGGGAGAGTGATCCAGACACCAACAGTGAGTTGTTCCGGGATGCACGCCATCAAAGAGCTACCCGGCATCAAGAACAATTATGTAATTACAGGAGGTAATTATGTTCAGTTGATGGTCATTAGGCTCCTCTCCAGACTATAAAAAAGACTGCTTGTGCCACGCCCTTCTTGAAGAAGTCGATGCTTTGACTAAAGAGAAACTAACTTGGCAGGCTGTATTGTTGCCAAGGTTTGTCGGACTTGCTGCCAAGGTCCCTATCTGTTTGTTTACTTGGCTTTCAGCCACCGAGAGTCTGGTCTTGCTATTAAAGGACATTCTTATTAAGCGGGTCTCGGCTTTCATTACTGGATGGAGGAGGGGGTCAGAACATGCCAAATGGAACTGGACACAGGATCTTTCTTCACAATCGTGTCCTGGCAAACACTCAAACGGCTCAACCCAAAGTAACAAAGAAGCAGCTCAAGCCACAGAATATCCCTTTGAACAACTCCCAAGGAAACAACATCCACATGCTAGGCAGAGGGGAAGTCTGCGTGAGTTTCAAAGTGTTCAGTGGGTAGCTGCCCCTAACCATTGCCACAAGCAACCAACCAACCCTGCTAGGCATAGAATGGTTCAAGGCTTTGGGACTCGGGATCACGGGGCTCAACCAGATCAAGTGGAGCGAGCTGAACCAACTGCTGGCTGAATTCAGGGACATGTTCGACGGGGATACAGGGAAACCCATATGATTTAACCTAGACCTCAGTGTAACCCCCATCAGAATCAGACCCCAAAGGGTCCCATTTGCTCTACAGCCCAAGGTAGATAAGCAACTGGATAAGCTCATTGCCCAAGAGATCTTGGTGCCAGTAGATCATGCCACATGGGAGAGACCCCAGTAGTCACCCCAGTCAAGTCAGATGGCTCAGTCCACCTCTGTGCGATTATAAATGCACTCTGAACAAAGTCCTACAGCAGAGCGCATATCTGGTGCCAGTGATGCTACATCTGCTGCATTCACTGGGGAACGGGAAAGTTTTTGTCAAGGCACAGGCCTATCAGCAATTACCAGTGGACGCCGCCACTGCAGAGGCCCAAACAATAGTTACTCACAGGGGGGGGCATTCAAATGCACATGGCTATAATTTGGGGTCAGCGTGGCCCCAGAACTTCCAGAACATGATAGAGCACTTCCTACAGGGAATTCCAGGGGTGGCACCCTGTTTTGACGATGTCCTCATCTCGGGGGAATCCACAGAACAACTTATGGCTCCATTAGGAGAGAGCGTGGGGAGGTTCCAAAAGAAAGGACTCAAAGAGGAAAAGTGCAAAATCGGCGTAAAACAAGTAGAGTTTCTTGGCTACTTGATAGATGGGTCAAATATCCACCCCAAGGACAGCAAGGTATAAAAGAAGCACCTACCCCAACCAACAACCGAACTGCAAACGTTCCTGGGGCTATTGAATTTCTATAGCATTTTCCTAAAACAGAAGGCAACCATTGCTGAACATCTCCAGAAGCTGCTGGGGAAGATGCCATTGTGGATCTGGGGACAGAAAGAGGACCGAACCTTTGCCACAGTCAAGGAACTTCTATTGTCTGATATCGTCCTCATCCAGTACAATGAAACTTTTCCCTTGCTGATCACTTATGATGCATCCCCTTTCACAATTGGAGCCGTCCTCAGCCATTGATTGCCAGATGGTTCAGTAGACCCCATCACCCCATCTCCATCACTCAAAGATACGTTCACCGGTGGAAAGAAATTACAGCCAGATCGACGAAGATCTGGGGGGAAGGTTGTCGAGAAGGTGGTGGCGCTTCAACTCCGACGGTCCTTGAATGAAGCAGATTACCTAGATTCCTTTCAGTCTGGTTTCAGGCCTGGGTACAGCACTGAAACCACTTTGGTCGCATTGACCGATGATCTCTGGCCAGCCAGGGATAGGGGACACTCCTCTATCCTAGTGCTCCTTGACCTCTCAGCGGCCTTTGATACCATCGACCATAGTATCCTTCTGCGATGGCTGGAAGAGCTGGGAGTGGGAGGCACCGTTTTACGGTGGTTCTGCTCTTACCTCTCCGACAGGTCGCAGTCGGTGTTGGTTGGGGGGCAAAGGCCGACCCCTAGGCCCCTTAAATGTAGTGTGCTGCAGGGCTTGGTCCTGTCCCACCTCCTATTTAACATCTACATGAAGCCTCTGGGTGAGATCATTTGACAGCATGGGGTTAAATACCATCAATATGCGGATGATATGCAATTGTATGTTTCCGTCCCATGCCAGCTTAGTGTAGCGGTGGACGTGATGTGCTGATGCCTGGAAGCTGTCAGGATCTGGATGGGAGTGAACAAACTT